TGTCTTTAATGGAAAAAACATACTACATAATTATGTGACTCCTAATTAACGAGAGGTGGCTCTGAATTCTTGTTTAAGATATGCTGGCCTGCACAGTTCTAAACTGACAGCTTTAACTCAGTATCTTCAGTAAGGGTGTGACCGTGTGCTCTGTGCTTCTCAGTGGTTCAGATCACTGACTTTGCACTGTTCCTGTGATACCCATCAATCCTGTCTCCTGGTGGCTCACACAGACAGCTTAGTCAGCTCCATGAAAGGTTTCATTTTTTAAATGAAAAATTCAGATGAAGATTGCTGCTGTCTGTGATTCAACTGCCTGTGAAAAATAGCAATGTCCTCTCATATTCATTGTTTGAATTGTGCTGGTGTACTGGAGTGATAACCAAAGTAAAATCAATTGTCATTTTGGCTGCAAATGATGTCTCTGTGATTAGATGATCTGAGGATGCAGTTTGTGGTTGCATGGGACATGCAGAAGAAAGGAGGAAGCTTAGAAGACATACCACAAGGTGCAGGACCCCAGTTTAAAACTCATTTGAAATTGAGTTGTTAGTTCTGTGTTTCTGAGGTAAAAGTCATGTTGGTCACATCCAGTGGGAAATGCTGACCCATTACCTAACCTCTGTAGTTTCACTTTAGACAGAATCACAGAATCTGGTATTTCTTTGATCCCACCACAACCTAATTTAGCATATTGTGCTGACAAAAAATAGCTAGCTTTGGGTTGGGTGGGCATAAGGTTTGTGTCAGTGCTGTTCAGTGCAGAACACAAAAGCACAGGGAGGCAAAGTGACTTGGCAGGCCAGAGGGGAGTGCCTTCCAATGCTTTTCCAAGGCCAGTCCAATAGAGTGACCACAAGGCTTCATGTGTTGTTTAAAATACTGAAATGGCCTCCAACATTTCAGTGTCGAAATCAATAGCATTCTGATGAATTGGGACATTCATTTTCTTCCCCCTCCCCCCTTCCCATATTTTTAATCTCTTTCTCTCCGCTGGTATACTAAATTTGTTTTGAGGTTTCAGACAAATTTGGAACATTTTAGTTTTTAATTTTAATTAGTAGACACAAGAGGACCTGACCCCTTTTATAATAACTGGAAGGGTTGAATAATCAAAGCCTGAGTAGTCAAGGTCAAAATACATTTCTTAATGTACATCTTACAGTTCTCTAATACTAACTCTATACACCACAAATGTTAGTCTACAAAATCTTCAGAACACAAATATTTGGGTTCTTTCTATGAACAAATTAAACAAGACACAGTTTTTAAAATGAAAATTATTAATGTCACGGTTGCCTAACATTGCATGTAGTAGCAATGCATCTGCCCATGTTTAGGTCTGTTCACATCAGCAATAATACTTAGGGTAAAGCTGCTTCTGTCTTTAATACAGGATCTGTAATGTCACAGGAGGTTCAATGTCTGCACCACAAGCACAATTACATAATGATGCATCACCCACAGCATCTACTGCTGGGCATTTGTCAACAAGGATGAGAGACATATGCTTAGAGGGATCAATGTTCCTGTTAACACATTGCATCAGAGGGATGAGCAGACACCCCCATGGAAATGGATCCCAGGAGCAGGTAGCTTGGGTTTCTTGAGACACTGTTCTTATGCTTCCTGAAAATAAGAATGAAATAATCTCTGTTTGGTTATGCTAATCTGTTTTCAAAGCTTGACACAATTTGTCAGAACAGGCTATTTCACCATTATAAAAGTTCTGAACTCGGGGTGCTACTCCTGCAACAATGGATTTAGGAGAGAAAAGGGAGAAATTGGCCTACACACAGAGCTACACAGCAGCTCCAGTTCATCACAGTGCTTACAGCACTACAACTGGTGCACTTGGAGACCTAGGAGGAAGCTAAAATAAATGTGCTTGCACATGCCTGAGCCAATTAACTAAACCATGGCAAGCTTGTATGTAAGTGCACAAGATCTTTTCCAGCCTTAATGGTTCTATGATAATTACTTCTACAAAGCTGCTTCCTATGTCCAACATTCAAAATAACTGCTTCAGCCAAGTAATTCTTCAGCTTTCTGGAAAGAACAATCTAGAAGTAAAGTGTTTATATTAGAAAAGAATAAAAGGCAGGAAGAGACAAATTGTAATAAAAATACTGAGTCCCCTAACAGAGAATGGTTCAAAAGAGGGCAGGGTGGGGCATTTAATTGCTGCTAAATGTACCACCAATCCCCATCAGGGTGAATGCTGAGTACGTGTCCCATAGGTTCATTGTCAGTGGTGAGCTCACCAGACCCTCATCCTAAAGTCTATTTCTTTCACTGAACTTTCCTCCTCCTCCTCTAGCGCCGTTTGGAAACCTCCTGGAGCAGTGCCGTGAGATCCAATGAGCACTATTAGTCAGCCCTCTGCTGCCTTGGTTCTTGGCCTGGTGTGTACACACAGACTGAAATCAAAGCCTGGCCAAACCAATAAACCACACTCTGGATGGAACATCTGAAGGCAGAACACCAGCCAAAACTTTTTAATGTAATGGTCTCCACTGGCAGAGAAACTGAGAGGTGTAGGAGGCAAGCTCTGTGTCTGCCACGAATAAATCAGGAAATTATCATGAATTAAGACCCCCAGTGCTCCCAACCTTTGGGAAGCCTGGCAGAGCCAGTACTGCAGACAGGGGAGACACTGCTATGAGGAGGTAGCTCCAGAGGTTGCTTTTCATGGACTGCATGCAGCACTAGGAACTGACTGCAGGTTGTGTTCTGAACAGTACCCAGCAATGCTGATGTGACTGGGTTTGAGAGATTGTGCTTGAGCAGTTCTCTTCCACAGGGTTATTTCACCTCAGTGAGGCAATCATCTGGTCCAGCTTCAGCCTCAGGCATTTACTTTGTAATTCATTCCCTCCAATAACAATACAAGAATCCATGTTTTATAAAGCTGGAAGAAAAGACTTTCTAGTACAGTGCAAAAAGTAGTGCATCCCTGTCATGTCTACTCATCATTATAAATGCCACTTCTCTTTGATTTTGACACATATGCACTTACTGCTTTTTCTTTCCACTTTTGTCTAAATGTTAAGCAATTTTCAATTTTTAAATATCTTTCTAAGTCTTTTTTGTAGAAGCTGAATAGAAGCACCTTCCAGCCTCTTTATTTTTGTATTTTAGGGTGCAGTCCTGAGATAAGTGAGTGAGCTTTCTCATCATTTGAGGCTTAAGTGGTGAGCCATTACTCAGCTAAAAATCCAGATGGAATGTTGTCAGCAGAGTTCTTACCCAGCTCTGGGACAGCAGGTGAGCAGGGAGAAAGTAAGGCTGAGAAGAGCGCAGCATCTCGCTGGCTATTTAGCTGAAACATTTATCGTAAAATATCTCAATCACTGCTTGGGCAGAAGCTCATGATTCCACAGGTCTTGGCCTGAGAAATTCCTATTTGGGCCAGCACAGCCCAGTAAGTGGTACCAATGCTAAGCCAATGCCACAGAAGCCCAGGCCTTCCTAGTTAATCTCTTTGATAGTCAGTTTATCAAACACCTGATACCTACCAGGGATCAGAGGCATGTAACAAGATTAGTAACCTGCTGCATCACCAGAGAAAACTGAGGACAGCAAACAGTTTGACAGATCTTATATAACAAACAAGTGGGGTCCAAAAATCTCAGCACAGATGTAATGATTCTCTTATTTATATATTTCCTTTTGGAGGGGATGAAGGACTCTTAACATTTCAGTACTGGAAACCTCCACTGGTGATGCAAGTTGGAATAGTGTCCTGAAGGACTGAGGTAGCTGAGCCTCTGCAGAACCACAGCAGGAGAGGTAACACTGTCAGGCTGCACTATCAGACAAAAAGGCACCGAGCAATCCAGGTACAGATGGTGCCTATGGGATGTTCTTTGAGAAATGTTCTCCAGCCTTTAAGTGGAAGTTAGATAGCAACAGCACGTTTCTCTCTAGCTGTGACAGATAATTTCTGGAAGGATTTTGCACTTGGGATGTGTTCAGCAGAGGTTTATCATCTTAAGGAAACTGGGCTTTGCCCAAGGCCAAGACAGGATGGCCTGTGCAATTGTTTGTGGCAAATCCTTACACTTCAAAGGAAAAAAAAGTGAGCAGCCCAAAGCCTTGTACAAGCTGAAACATTAATTTTGTCCTTTACATTAAACTTTCGTTTCTCCAGGTGTTCTTAAACTTGTTTTCAGCCTAAAACAGGATCCTGGGCATGAAATAGCAATCCAAAAGTTAAATCACCTTGTGATTTTTAGTACAATGGGAATTTACTCAACTAAGAGCAGCACAATTTAAATCAGACACACAAGTTAAATTTTTCTGATGTTAATGCTAAATTCTGATATGGGGAAAATCCTGTTCTATGTCCTATCTGAAAAATTCTAAATTATCAACTGTTAATATAAATTCCTGAAGGATACTGTGACTCACCCTACCTTCCCAGTTAAGGTGAGTCACCAGAAAATATTTTGTCCACAGCAATTTTTGTATTTCAAATGGTTCAACCAGCTCATGTAGGATAGTGGGGTGCACTTCATTGTCTTTTCAGCTCTCTGGAAAATGTGCTGGAATACAGAGACCTACCAGAGTGTGCCAGTTTGTTGAATTATGTATCTAGGGTGATGGTACACTCATGAGATCTGGTCATCATAAAAATACATGTGGCTTTGATCAGGTGGAGATAAATGCAGTGGTGAAAAGCATGAAAAGTTTTACTATGGTTTGGAAGGACGGAAGAAACACTTTATTTACATTTCTGAACCCAATCCTGGACACTTTCAAGGGCAGATATAAAGCTGACAAAGTGCAAATGCTGTGCCTACCCACTTAACCTGAGTGGGTTGCAGGTTCCAGGCTAGGCTGCATTTAGAGAGAGTCCAGTGGGAGAAACAAGCTGGCTTTCTATCCCCATCCTTTTCCCATTTAATAATCCTTTAAATGCTCCGTGTCCCCTTTCCCATCTCCCAAGATGTAGAAAGTTTTGACTTTCCCTATGATTTGGTTTTGTTTGCCTCCAGCTTTGCAACAATGCAGATGTCTTCCTGGCAAGAAGGAGACCCCACCTTTGATGTTTAACTACCAGCAGCCACTGCACAAGGCAGGAAGAGAGTAAGCAAATCCCAGTGCAGAGACTTTGCATAGAGAGAACGTGTATTTTACATATGCATGTAAGTAAACTCCTACTCCTTATGGAAACCCCACCCCAAGAGTTCCTTTTTGCCATTTTTTTTCCTTTTAACAGTTTTAGCCTTCAATAGCAGATGATGCAGCAATTTGAAGAAATAAGTATGATTAACTGCTAGCAAAATGTATTTTCTCTCCCTCCTGACTTGCAAACACGGAGGTGTTAAAAAAACAACTAACAACTTTTGTTATACTGAATTCTGAGGTGGGTGCCATGCTCGTACTTAACCTTGTCACTGTAACACATACTTTTGGTACCAAGTAAGGGTTATTGCCCTAACCAGGAGACTTCCATGCAGTGCTCTAAATAAGGAATGTTTTGTTCCTGCAGTTTTGGTAATTTAGCTGCAGCTCTGGCCTGTCTTACTGTGCAGCTTATTCCTGATTCATCTTCTGAGCTTACAAAATACCAGATAAAAATAGATTATTGTTCTATCTAAATTCCCATAATCCTTGTGCTCATTAAAAAGAAAGTCATGTAACTGTTCTTAGTCAGGATTGCACTAATTAGTACAACTGGCACTTCTGACCTTATGATTTCTACCCTTAATACACCCAGGTTGGCTGTGCTGCCTGCATTAACATACCCAGGATATATAATATCTCCTTACACAACAAAGTGCTGCAGAGAAAAATGCAAACAAGAAAATAAAGGTCAGGAGGATGGAGTTTCTCCACATCCTTATCCTTTGGCTTCATTGAATATTTTGTATTTATTTTCATATAACAAATTAGAAATCCACAAATAAAAATCAGGGGCCAACTTTTCATAGATCCTTTAGGAGATAGGGCAGCTTCCCAAAGTGTTCTTGATCAGTGTCTCTGGTTCAGATTAGCAGTTGGTTGGTTTCTGTAACAGCTCCTAGGATCTCAAAAATTTCAGGGACATACCAGCACAAGCTTATTAAACTCGATCTCATTTGACTGGTTTTTTTTTTATTTTTAAAAGAAAGATTAATATGAAGGAAGCAACTTCCGTGTTCTCACTTCACCTTAGGGAACAGCTTTATCTTTTTAGTCTTCACTATTCAATAAAATTAAATGTGGGTATTTTTGTGTAGGAAATTAAAAACTGTTGGCAGCAAATTTTTGTTCTGTAGCTGCTGACTTATGTATTGTTTGATTTATATGTGTCACTGGAGTCAGGAAATTACAAATCCATTAATCAATCTAATCCTCTCACCATCAAGCTGTATGGATAAGTATTTAAATAAATTATACCGATAGGACAATCAATTCTCTGAATGTTGTAATAAAAAACAGAAGGAACTTAACTATGTGGATGATGAATCTACCACAATGAGAACAGAAATTTAAATAGTTCAGAGAAATACTCACTTGTGGTAGACTGACAGAGGATATAAAAGCAGGAAAGATAGAGGGGAAAAGCTACATCAGGGTTTGGGTTTTTTTAAAAAATCTCTCATAATACAAGAGGAAAGGAAGAACCAGTGCAAACCCAGAAGATTTGTAAAAAATGAAACTTTTTCTGAAAAAAGTGGACTTCTGAAAGAGTTTCCAAGTGGCCTGCAAGATTCATTAACCTTCCCAAGGTCAGAAATCATCAGGTCAACAACATGAAACCGAAAACTAAACCAACAAACCCTGACAGCGAGGAGGTAAACTGAAAGTAAAAAACAGGGATGTAAATTTCAGTGGGCCAGGACACAAGCCAACTTCTAGTGGAAGGATTAGGAAGAAAATTTCTGTATATAGCAAGGTTATTTGATGCTTGTCCACTCGAGGGATCCTTACAATTTTCTCTGAGGCACTTGTCCTGACTATTCTGGGTATGAGGATAATGGCTCAGACATATCTGGGGCCTGATTCTGTATGCAGCTCTCTATGCTCTCTGTGCATCTGTGCTTATATAAGAAAGAAGGAAGACATTTAATAGTTACTCCAGAGATGCAAATGATTCTGAAAAAATTAGCATTGTATTTATTGCTATTTCTTGCAGAATGGGGGTTTATAAACCTGGAGCAGAAAACAGAAATGTTGCATTGAGAAGGTAAGAGCATAAAGAAAGAATTTGCCATCTAGCTGCTAATAAAATTCTAAGCTTCACAGACGTTTGGGCCAAAGCCCATGAATTATTTATTCTTGTTACCTGCATAATGTAGGTCACAACCTCCCTGTGTAATTAGGCTAAACAGTACCTACTTCTATTTCAGCTCTGTAATAAAACATTTAAGGCAACAGTTCTGATTTCAGGACTTGAAGGATGGAGAGCTGAAAACATGCCCAAACTGGGGCTTTCCCTCCCTTCCTCGTTCTGAGCTCTGCTCATTATATTCTGCATGGAACTGCTGCCTCCTCAGCCTTTTTTTTTGCAGCCTGGAGTCCAGCAGACTGACAGCACTTGCTGAGTACTTGCACATAGCAAAGTGGTATTTTACTTAACCCTTGGAAAAGCTAAGCCGACAAGACTTCCTTCTTTCTGTAAGATTTTCCAGATTAACTTTGTAGCTTTAATTGTCTCTGCCTGGGGTCTTTTAGGGGTTGTGTTGGTAAAGCTTCAGTTCATGTGTGTAAGGTTTATTCAATGATTAATGCTAAAAATCAATCTTGACCTAGATCCTCCTCTCAGCACAACAGAGAGACTTGGGTAAGGGCCTCACAGGAGCATGCGTTAGTGCTGCTTGTTCTGAACTTTAGGGATCAGTTGTGGTACAAACATGGAACATCAAACTGCATCTTGTGAGTATTTCCCTAGGGGAAGGGCTGGAGTAAGAAAACCCATCAGTTACTGCCTTTAGTGACAGTGGAATCAACTCTTAATATTGGAATAAACAGAATTGGGAGAAAATTTTTTTTACAGAAATTAATCCAGTGCTACCTAAGCAACATTGCTTCAGCAAATATTACTGGAGGCCTGTGGGCAATTAACAGAGCTTAGTTTTAAGATTCTACTAAATATTAAATATTATTAACATCTGTTTTTTGTCATCAGCTTTGGATAAGGAATCTCCTGAAAAAGCAACCCCACCCACCTTATAGGATACAAGGTTCAGCTCTGAAGGCTCCTAAAATTGCTTGTCCGCAAGGTCCTGTAAATTATTTGGCCATGGTGTAACAGAGCAGAGCATTGCACATAAAATGTTCCACTGGTTTTGCCAGCTGAAAGAAAGTCTTTAGTCAGAGCAGTGGCAAAAAAACAAAAGAAAACAAAACCAAACCCAAAACCAAAAAGCAAACCAAACCATCAGTTTTGTTCTAACAGATTTTAAGTTTGGCATTTTCTGTGCAGGAAAATTACTGTCTTATCCAGCGAAGGGAGCTTTTTCTCATCTCTTTTTGTCAGGCATCTTTCAGGATGCCTGATATCTTGTGCACTTCCACAGAGGTGCAGGACAGCCCCTATCTAACAGCTCTGGGTTTGTTCCCTTCATATCCTTGCTGATGAGGAAGACCCAGTGTGTCTGCCTAAGAGAATTGCAGAGAGAAGGGAACACAAGAACAGTATCAGAAGCATCTTCAGTGTTGCCAAAAGCACAGAAGGAGTAGAAAATCCAACAGTTTCACTTTGGGGGAAAACACTGCCAGGTTCATCCCTTCTGTATTGCCTCACCACTTAGAGTAAATATTCAATGTATGGTCTCACTAATGTTGCAGAGGGAAATCCTACTACCCTCTACTCCTACTTGGTCTATCTGCTCAAAGAGTCAAATCTTCCCTTTAATTTACTTCTATGTATTTAAAGCAGAAATGCCCATGCAGCCCTCAGTTGCCAGAATTCCTTAACTCTTGTGTTTTCTGGAAGACATCTGTTCCTAGTGGCTAGATGACCTTCCTTTTGCTCAGCATCAAACATGCCCTGCATTAAGTGACTCGGACCATTCAGCAACTTGTCCTCATTAATAAAAAGTGGTTTATTTAACATAATTTATGAAAATATTGTACACAGTTGAACAGATCTGCAGAATTATACTAGCTAACTACAAATGAAAAAATCTCCTCTTCAAAAATAATTCAGTATAAATTGACCTTTTCGTTTTATTCCTTCAGGTTCTCAAGTGAGATTACAAAACACCAACTCTATTGTGGCATATAATAATGAGCCACATTTGCAATCTGATTTAGCCTTGTTGTTTTATTGAGAAAGACCAGTATTGCTTTTTCCCAAAGCCACACAGAAGAGCTCTACTGAGGTTACCTTATAATTTACTCTTTGTATAGACCCAGAGTTTGATCTTAATGATCCCTTTGACAACATCCACTTTTTTGGAACTTCCAGTTTCCCAAGGTAAACTTAAAAATCTCCATGCTTGCCACCTTTCATCCAGTACCTATCTGTTCTTACCAGCCTTTAATACTTACACAATAATGCCAATTACAACAAACTTGATGATTTATTTTTAAGCAAAAATATTGGCAGCCTTTATTCAGCTGCACCAGATCCCAGCACTAGCTGCTCTGAAATTCCTGATGCACCACTTCTACAAACCCATGAGGATGTATGTCTTAAGTCAAACCTGGTACAAAACCAGATTGACATTAGAAAGGACAATCGACCCCAGAGAGCCCAAGGACATATGGGAAGTTCAAGTTAACAGATTCTAGCTATAGAAAGGTACTGACCAGAAAACCTCTTTTTTCTCTCTCAGGAGATACCTATTCTTTGCCTTTGAGATCAAAGTAACTGCAGCATGTAACACCTGACCACCTCAGGCACCTGGTTTTTTACTGTAGCCTTACATTATTTTTCACAGGATGATTTTTTTTTTTTTGTTAAATCAAGACAAAAATGGGGGTTTTTGTAAACCAGAGTAAGCACACATGACATTCATATACCTTTTTTATTTCAAGTTTCAGCTGAAAGTAGTTGTCCTTAAAAATCAAGAGCATCCTTTCAGAAAAGCTAAGTTATGAGACCAGCAAAAAAGACAATAGAGTCCTGAGAGATAAAAATTTATTTATCTGATCAGCATGTCATGATATGGTCACAACTCATACAGCTGACATTCTTATAGCCAAGAGGGATGTTTTTCTTTTTAAAAATACATTTTTCTTTCCAGCAGGAAGGATTTTTTAAAAACAAACATTTCATACTAGGCAGGAATTAAAAACAATGGCTTTTTCAATATGACAACACAGCTGGTAAGCACTGGATACCCCACCAGTGTCTTAATATTCAGATTTTGAGTTTTCCCTCCCGCTCCCCGATTCCCCCACCCCACACAGAAAAACACCACACAGAAAAACAGGACAAAACCCAGATGGGAAACAAAGAGGTAGACATCACTACAACTATGGCGCTGTTTTGGAAATTGTGCGAGATGTCTCACAATGCTCCAAGGAGTTCCTTTTCCCTTTGTTAGACACTGCAGAACTGGGCCCCAGCAGTGAACTCAAGAGGGGACAGGAGCCAAGAGCCATCGCCACCAAGAGGTGCCAGGGCTGCAGAATGGGTGGGGCTGTCCCACCTGGCATTGCTCTGACCAGCTGGGGTGGCTTAAAAACAGATCCCTCTTTAAAACTATGGATCTCACTATGACAACAGCCTTTCTCCCAACAAGGCTGGAGTCACATCCTTCTAGCAGGCAAACCAGGGTCAAGGGGGCTTGGGTTCTGCTCTTGGACACCCTCAGCTCTCAGAAACTTTAAGAAGACTCATGGCTACAGTGACTTGCAGAAGAACTCCGCAGCTGGGGACTGGCACAGCTTCCAGCGGGTGCTGCAGCCAGTGAGGGCTGCAGAAGCTGCTGTCCCCTCTCTCCCCTACTGATTCACTCCTTCTCTTGCCACTTCTGGCACTGAAACATTTGTCCCTGTGTCCTTCCTAATAAACAGTGTTATCTATCACAAATTAACACTGCGGCTGTACAGTGAACCAAAGAGTTATTTTACTATTTGTTGTGTTTATGGTAAGCACAGTAAAGGTTGTGTATCCACTAGTTAAAAGCACAATAAATACAACCATCAAATAAGATCTTCTCATCTATTAAGGATCAGAAGCATATTAAATAGTCTTGAAAGAAAACTCTTTTTGCCACAGGGAAAAAAAAAAACCAACACCAAAAAACCAACAAAAAACCCCAAACAAAACAAAACAAAAAATCCAAAACAAACAAACAAACAAAAAAAACCCAGCCCAGGGAAAATAAAGAGAAATGCTGCTTCTGGTATCTGTCTACATTTCTGAAAGTCATATTAGCTGCTGGAAAGAATTTATAAAAAAAATACCCAATTAAATAAATTCAGCAAAATAATTCCAAACATCACCAGCCCTTCACAAAACCACTGACAGTCACTCCAGGCTTCCACATCCACTTCATCACATGAAACAAAAATGTAGGTAACAGAGAAGGGAAGGAGAAAACTGGAGGTGAAGATAACTGCTATAAAAAAAACCCTGTTCATCATACAACATGAACATCATGGAGGAGTAATTTTAAGTAACTAACTCATTTTAATAGGACAGTTGTTCAGTGAATAATTACTTAATTATCTCATGATAAAATAAAAGATCTAACTTTAAAATGCATAGAATCCTTCCAATGACAACTTCTATCACAGCCAGGCAGTCTACAGCTCTTACAGAAAAAGCAGAGCTGCTCAGAAACATTTCTAATGTCTGCAGACATTTTAAACCAGAGTATGGTTTCCATTTTGCTCTTCCCATTGTTGCTTTGTATTTTTTAAAAGAAGTGTAAAAACTATCAAATATGCAATTTTGCAAAATAACCCTTTATTTCATATGGCTCCATTATTTCCAAAAAAATACAGAACCCCAGATGTATAATTGTTTTGTGTGATTGTATCAGATCACCACAAAATCTTCAGCTGACTGTCAAGAGAATGCATCCAACCCTGGGCTCGTGGTTTGGAAATCCCAGTTTTAGGTACCTTTGGTCCCAAAATGTATGTCAAGGCAAAGCGGAGCAGCTGAATCCTGTCACACACAGTGATCGGTATCTGTTATTATCGTGTACAAACAGGTGAGAAAAGTTAACAGCACTTTATGGCAGTGTCACACAAAGAAAAGTTACATCATCTGCAAACCAAGTGAACAAGGAACAGTACCACAGTGATCGCTTTATTTGTACTGCAAGAAGATGCACCTTATTTGTGACTGGGGGAGGAGGGAGAGGGAAGCTTTTAATTTTCCAGGAAATCAAGGTAAACTGAAATTTCAGTTTTCAACATCTGGTGACAGCAACTTTAAAAAGGGGAAAAAAATAAAAAAGAAGAAGAAAAAGAGACGCCACTGTTGCATGATTCAACAGAAGCACACGTGGAACCCAAGTGAGACTGAAATGACGGCGCACTCACCCGAGGGCACTGAAGAAACTGCTTGGTGTGGATGGACAGGTGCTCTTCACATCATGGGATTCACAGAGCAGCAAAGCTAAACCGTGAGGACTGACACAACTTCAACTGTAACAACTTCTTTATGAACAATTAAACATAGAAACGTGAAGATGTTTTGTGGGCAACCCTGGCAGAGAACTACTTTATTCTTATTCTTCTCATCTGCAATGCACTCAAATTGCTCTGTTCTCACTTCTGTGTGCAACAGCCTTCAGTTAGAATTTTTTCTGTGAATTTTTCATTTTTCATCAT